GGATTTGTTTCTCCAAAGTACCCAGACTAATACAGGAAGGGATGCTAAACAAGGAGTGTAGGGAACGAGGGGGGCAATGGACCAGATTTTAGGTTCCTGGGTAGACGTGGCAAGTATTTTTCTACCCAACCTTCCATGAACCATGCCATGGGCTAAGCACCATGACGATCCTGGAAGCTGACCTTGCAGGCAGCATGGCCTAAGATAATGCAGGGGCTGCAGCAGAAGGATTAGCACAGAGGCCCCGCTGAATGAACGGAGCCCTGCCTCGGAGCTGCCTGCGCCTTTGGGCTGAGGACTGGAGTGCTCAGATGGGAGAGGAGGCAGAGAGTAGCCGACCTGGGACTGGAAGTGATAGTCATTGGACCTTGGGGGAACCGCTGGGTTGGTGGGTGTCCAATGGAAAAGGGACCCAGGAATCACCATATATTTAGTGCCTTAATGCCCTGCTCACAGTGACGTGACAGGTTTTAATTGGCTAGGCATGGATCTGCACTTGTAGGAATTGATACAGGAAATTTCCCCTGGCACCAATATCCAGGCTTAGGGAAAACAGAGCTCAATCGAATGGGAGATTGAATTGTGTGGGCAACAGCTCGTGGGCTGCAGCTCCCGGTAGAACTGTGCTGGCATAGACTCCTCATGCCGCAGGTGCCCGGACGACTGTGCAACGGGGAAAATTATTGATGTTATCAGTGCAGTCGCCTTATACCTCAGGGGGTGGACTGACAGTGTTTCTATGGGTTTCTGTTTTCCTGCCCGTGTTTGGCTTTGTTCTGTGTTTTGTTTTGTTGTTTTTTTTATTATTGTTACCAGTTAGTTTGTTGCTATTTTCAGTATAGTTGATCTTATAGGGTGTGTCAGGGTTGAAGAGAGAAGCAAATCCAATGACACTCATATATGTATAAGAGATAGCTTTATAGCTAAAAGTAATTATATATCAAGGAACTATTCCAGGCCAGTCCAGATGAAGTCCGTAAGTCTGGTACTAGTCCATAAGTCCCTCTTCAGATTCATGCAGACACATGCAATGATGCAGCATGCAGGAAGATCACAGGCTGGTGGGTGCAAAGCCTTGTGGATCCAATGGCATTGGATGCATCTCCAGTGTTCTGGCAGGTCTCAGGTGGCTCCCAGGCATGAAGGTGAAGGCAGAAGGGGTGGTGGAGGGGGGTGGGCAGGCCTCCAGAGAACCATTTATCTTAGTCGCACCTCCAAAGGAGGTCATCAAGTTGTGACCTGATTGACAGGCTAAACTCCACCCTAATCTTCTTACAGGTGCCATGTTGGCACAAAAAACTTAACTCACATGGGGTTTTGATTTTGTCCTAATACAACCCAAGTCGTGCATATCCCATGGACAAGCCTATGGATTCTTAGCTCCCACTTAACTCTAGCTCCAATCCAAGAACAATTAGTCCCGATAACATGGCCCAGCTCGATACTCATCTTCATGAAATGGTCACTGAAGATAAGGGTGCTACAGCAAAGTGTGGTGAAGAAATCAGATAGTGTCTGGCTATCAATCAGAATGTGTCTGGGGTCTTAAAGGCTTGATTTCAAACAAGCAGCCATCTAAGTGAGGGGCCAACGAAGCATGCCAGCTTGTGTGATCCAAAGATGACAATAATGAAATCCAAATATGGTGAAGGGAAAAGTATCAGAGCTTAATTGTGAACGCCCAACTTGCAGAAGGCTATGGAGGGCAGTGAGAGCCCAAACCCCTCTGCAAAGTGTCTGGTCAGATAAGCATCGGGCAGACCCCCTCTAGTCACAGGCAAGAGTCTCGAGCAGTTTTACTCTCAGGTAGAGATCATTGTAACCTCGATTATGCTGGATCAAACTTGATACTTGGTCAGTTGACCTCCCTCTTGACCCACCCTGAATTTGTTCTAGGTACAAGTATTTCTTGCTTGTTCCATGACAAAATTTCCTTCCCTGGCTTTTTAATATAGATGGTGGTCTTTTCTTTTTATTCATTATTTGTATTGTTAGCTTTCTATTACTATTGTTTTATCTTTACTACCTTATTATGTGCTT